CTTTGGGGGAGAGGGGTCTCAGACTTCTGGGGCCTCGGGCTTTGGGGGAGAGGGGTCTCAGACTTCTGGGGCCTCGGGCTTTGGGGGCCTCAGACTTCTGGGGCCTCGGGCTTTGGCATTGGGGGAGCAGCACTCTCATGCCTCTGTAATCTCTTCCTCACCTGCAGCACATCTGCTGCGACTGCAAGAAGAGCTTCTGCGCCCTGTGCTCAGTGCCACAGGACAGCCTGCGTCGCTGCACCACCTGCCAGCTGTTGCGGGGCACAGCCTTTCAGCGGCCACAATTGATGCGCCTGCGTGTCAAGGACCTGAGGCAGTACCTGATTCTGCGCAACGTTCCCACAGACACTTGCCGTGAGAAGGAAGACCTGGTGGACCTGGTGCTGTGCCACCGGGGAGTGCCTCACAGCCAGGAGGGAGAGAATGAAGGGGAGGAAGAGGAGGGGAACTCAGGTGGGATGCGCTCACGCCCATGTTCCTTATATAGCCCGGCAACCACCACAAACTCCACCTCTCAGGGAGAATTGCTCAGCCAGACTGAATGCTCAGGCACCGCCCACCAGGCAGGGACCGCCCACCCGGCAGGGACCGCCCACACGGCAGGGACCGCCCACCAGTCCGGGACCACCTGCCCAACTGGGACGGCCCACCAGTCAGGGACCACCCGTCCAACTGGGACGGCCAACCAGTCAGGGACCACCCGTCCAACTGGGACGGCCCCCCAGACCGGAACCACCCGCCCAACTGGGACGGCCCACCAGACTGGGACCACCCAGCCAACTGTGACAGCCCACCAGGGTGGGACCACCCACCCAACTGGGAATGCCCACCAGAGCAGGACGACCCGCCCAACTGGGAATGCCCACCAGCCAGCGACAGCTCACCAAGTATGGATGGCCCACCAAACAGGGACGGACCACCAGGCGGGAAACACCCACTCAATAGGGACGACCCATCAGGCAGGAACAGCCTACCCTACAGGAAATGCCCAACCAACAGATACAGTGCATCAGGCATGGATGTCCCACCCAACAATCAACTCCCACCAGGCAAGGACAGCCCACCCACCAGGGAACACTCATCAGACAAGGACAGCCCACCCAACAGGGAACGCCCACCAGACAGGGACAGCCTGCTCACCAGGGAACACAAACCAGACAAGGACATCCCACCCAACAGGGAACGCCCACCAGACAGGGACAGCCTGCTCACCAGGGAACACAAACCAGACAAGGACATCCCACCCAACAGGGAACACCCACCAGACAAGGACAGCCCACCCAACAGGGAACGCCCACCAGACAAGGACAGCCCACCCAACAGGGAACACTCATCAGACAAGGACAGCCCACCCAACAGGGAATGCCCACCAGACAGGGACAGCCTGCTCACCAGGGAACACTCACCAGACAAGGACAGCCCACCCAACAGGGAACGCCCACCAGACAAGGACAGCCCACCCAACAGGGAACGCCCACCAGAGAAAGACGTCCCACCCAACAGGGAACGCTCACCAGACAAAGTCGTCCCACCAGTCAGGGACGTCCCACCAGGCAGGGAATACTCACCAGGCAGGCAATGCTCACCAGGCAGGAATAGGCCACCAGGCAGGGACAGCTTATTCAACTGGAAAAGCCCACCCAACAGAGACAGCCTGCCAGGCAGTGAATTCCCACATGACAACAAACTCAACAGGAAATGCCCAGCTAATAGGGATGACAAACCCGATAGGGAATGCCCACCAGGAAGGAAACAACCAACAAGCAGGAACAAGTCACCACATAGGAACCTCCCACCAAGTAGGAAGTGACCACCACACAGTGACCACCCACCAGGAAGGAAACGCCAATCAGGTATGGACTTCAGCACCAGGTACATCTCTGTCCTCCTGTAGCAATAGCCTTTCTCCTAGGCAATATCAGGCATTTTGCGCTTTTCTGAAGCCATTAGTAGTGACTTATTTTTATATATCGGCATATGCTATGGGTATAAAGATGCATCATAATGAATTGATTATCAAGGTGGTGATTTAATGCATCAGTCTGGAAAGTCAGAATCAATTTTTGGGGGTAAAATAAAGATACTCCTGCTTTGTGACTGTGCGCTCTCGCTTTCACGTGCTGCACATTGACCCACGGAGTAGCAGTGCTGCTTCTTGGATTTCTGAAACATAGGGTGGCGGTATAAGGCTCTGTCATATTCATAAGAGAAGCACCACTTGATGATCTTTGCACTACGATGCTTTTGGGAAATGCCTAATTTGCAGCACTTAAGTCATTCTTTTTGCAAGCTATGGCAGTAATGGTCACCCTGAGGTAGCTACCGTGTCCTCTACAGGTATTGACAGCCCTTTTAAAGGTACATGCTATAGGAGACTGAATGCTCTTTTATTGGCACAGGGAGGTTATACAAAAAAATGTACAAAATGACACATCTCTCTAGTTCTTTTTGGCATAATATACTGACTTTGCTGCAGCATAATAGTGGCAGCTGTTAGAGACATGTACAGTCATCTCACTGTAACGAAACCCATAAACACGTACTCAGACACAAGTGCAGGCGTTATGCAGAACTTTTACTAAACACAGAGGAAAAAAAACCATCCCATTTTGGGCTGATAGAGATCGCTCACAAGCAGTCCTTATGAACCCAATGTAGTGACAAGAAATATCAGTGGTATCAGGTTGATTCGAAATGTTGTGAAACTAAGTGGTACAGATCGGGCATTGTTGTAAAATTTGCAGCGCAGGGTAATGGTGCACGTGAGCATGCGCAGACATGCTAGGAACGGATCGCTTCAGAAGCACAACAAAATAATGTCATTAAACAAGTGCCAGTCGAACATTACACAGTAGAAAACGAAGTGGAAATAGTAATAGAAATATGACGGTTCTGTGTCATTCACCAAATTTTATATAGATGAATGGAGACGATTCTTGCAATTATGCAAAAAATAATTGCAGTGAGCTTAAACAATCAGGATCAGGCGATTATGTCATAATTGTGACAGGCGTATTTGTAATCAAATCAAATTCCCTTGGGGCCAATGATTTACAGCCCTAGGGTATACTGTACAAATAAACCGAGTAATTTAATGTTTCTCTTTAAATGTTCAGTTTCTTTTGGCCCGTGGGGACTATTAGTGCATCTCATGTTCGTGTGGAGAGGCACTTGACTTTGCACCTTTCAAAGCGTGTTATTTCATTTTGCAGTGGTGCCAGTGCTGCCTTTTTACAGCATGAAAGTTATGCTGGACCCCATAGCAGCACTGGAGAAATGGAGGATTCTGGGAAATGGGAAGTGGGAATGACTGTCCCTGTGATTCGTAGGGAATCCATTTTAACCTGGGTGCCCTCTAAGAGGTCTTGTGTACTAAGGAGCAGGCAGTTCAGTTAAAGATGACATCCCCCATCCTTAAGCACTTTTGTGTGTGCTTTGGCTTTCACAGAGCCTAATTCCTTCCCTGTTGTCCTAGTGAAGGCTTGGGCATAACCATGATTCATGCTTTTTTTTTTTTTTCTTGTCCTTGGTTTGTGTTGCTCAAAAAGGATCTAGAAGATGTGGCTTCTCTGTCCCTCTTGAACTTGGAATCCAGTGAAGACGCACAGGTGAGCCCTACACACTGACACATTGTGTCTCACTCTGCTGAACTTCTGATTGGTTTTCCAACTTGAAGTGAGATTATACTACACTACCATTCAAAAGTTTCAGGTCATTTGGAAATGTCCTTGTTTCTGAAAGCAAAACTATTTTTGGTCCATTAAAATAACATCAAGTTAATCCAAAATACAGTGTAAACGTTGTTAATGCTGTTAATGACTACTGTAGCTGGAAACAACTTTTAGTGTAATATTTTCATTGGCCTATTATCAGCAACCATCGGTCCTGTGTTCCAATGGCATGTTGTGTTTGCTAATCCAAGTTTATCATTTTATAAAAGGCAAATTTGATCATTAGAAATTCCTTTTGAAATCATGTTAGCACAGCTGAACCCTGTTGCATTGATTTAAAGAAGCAATAAAACTGGCATTCTTTAAACTAGTTGAGTATTTGGAGCATCAGCAATTGTGGGTTCGATTGAAGACTCAAAATGGCCAGAAACAAAGAACCTTTTTTGACACTTTTCTGTCTATTCTTCTATTCCAAACCTTTAGGAGAATTTTTACTGAGTTCTATGAAATATCCACTCGGGCTTGTCAGTGCCATTACAAGTGGCTTAGGGATGCTGTTTGGCCGTGCTGTGTGTTTTTGAGCTGGGTAGAAACCAGAGTACCTGGAAAAACGCAACATGGGTAGAACCTGTAAGCTGTACCTGCAGGGCTGGGGGAGGGATTTGAACCCACACCCCTGGAGGTGTGAGGCTATGGTCCCACGCTCCAGACTAGAGCCCTGCATTGGGAGTGGGATCCTGCGGGTCCCGCGGGACCCAACGCAAATCTCACGGGATTGGGCGGGTTTTAGATTGTCGTGGGCGGGAGTGGCCGGGAGCAACAGAGATAGCGGGCGGGATAAAAATAGACAGCGGGTCCCAAAATTGTTAGCTTAGCAGGATGGAGGATGCAGCTGATGTTGTCAATAAAATTGCAAAGGGAGAATATAAAACAAAACTAAAATTGGGGAAATCGGAGATATGGAAAAACTTTAAAATTGTAACAAACAAAGAGGGTAAAGAGCTGAACTTTGTGTGTTGTGTGAAGTGCGGCAAAGCGATAGTGTACAACGGGCACAAATCTGGCACTTCAGGATTGAGGCGACACACCTGCCCCGTTGCTGTACTCCCAGGTAGAGCCCTGCAATTGGGAGCGGGATCCCGCGGGACCCAACGCAAATCTCACGGGATTGGGCGGGTTTTAGATTGTCGTGGGCGGGAGCGGGCGGGAGTGACAGAGACAGCGGGCGGGATTGGGCGGGAATCGTCAGAAATTCAGTGGGAGTGGGCGGTAATGGTCAGAAATTCAGCGGGAGTGGGCGGGAGCGGGATTAAAAAAATAGTCCCGCGCAGGGCTCTACTCCAGACCATGATGCACTGTGTGTATTTGTGTGTGCTCTGTTCATTAATGCTCACTCCCCTCACGGAAGGCCAGCCCCACGGCGCAGAAGCGTGCTCGTGCATCGCTCTCTGACCTCTCCAGCCTTGATGAGGTGGAGGGCCTGTCTGTGCGGCAGCTCAAGGAGATACTGGCCCGCAACTTCGTCAGCTACTCCGGCTGCTGTGAAAAGTGGGAGCTGGTGGAGCGTGTGGGTCGCCTGTACCGTGAGAACGAGCAGAATCGCAAGTCCCGTAAGCCGCCCCCACCCCATCACGCTAATGCAGCATTTACTGCGTGTGCCCATACACACTTAGCTGCCAGCGCTAATGCTACATAGATATGTGTGCATGCTAAGCAGTGTTAATTTTGATAGCAAATTTTTATTTAGTTTTAGTCATAGTCTTTTGACTAAAATTTTATTTAGTTTGTCATAATTTTGTCATCTAAATTATTTTAGTTTTAGTCTAGTTTTAGTTGACTAAATGTCATAAGATTACAGATTACTGCAAACTGAGTACTGTAAAATCAGTAGTGCCATTAGTGCAAAAATAAAATCACTTCAAAGTGCATAGGCTATAATGCCACTAGGCCTGCTGTCTCTGAATGTTAAAATAGAAATATTAAAATAAATATTTGTAGACGGAGTTTATTGGTGATTTCATGTTCGTTGAAGTTTCCGCTTTTTAACAACTGTATAAAGTAATGTTATTTGTTATATAAATCAACTCAGGTGGAACAATAAAATGTACGTTTTCAGGGTTGCCAAATCTCAAGCATTTGGCATGACACTAACGGTTTCAGACTCACGCAGGAAATCTTACGGCAAATCTATATCATACCATTATAAACGTATAATATACGTCCAAAGTGTATTTACACGGTTAAATAGAGAAGCAGGCTATTTACAAGGTAAGAACTGTTACATTTGTGAGCAGACATCTCCAGCCAGCTGGCCGAAGTTGGCAACTCCGCGTTTTATTTGAAATTTAAAAAAAATGCGCTGTTTTCGCCCGAAACGGCTTGTCATTCCGTTTGCGTTGTTACTCCGACAAATATAAAACGAATATGAGAAAAACACGTCACATTTTATATCTTTTCGAAATAATAAGACCGTCCATATCCTACTCTAGCAGCGATTAAAGTGATATATGTATGTATTTATATTAAAACGATACTTTAATTTTATTACGAATTTCGTCAAAATTAACACTGATGCTAAGGCTATATTTACTAGGATCAGGGTTAGGCCTGTGGTAATACTAGAGAGCTGCGTATGCTTTTTGTGAATGGCTGAAAGTATGTCTACAAGCTAAGGCTGTACTTGTTAGGGTTAGACCTATGCTAATGCATCGTATACTCATTAGCCACTTTATTAGGTACACCTTGCTGGTACTGGGTTGGACCCCCTTTTGCCTTCAGAACTGCCTTAATTCTTCATGGCAAAAATTCAGCAAAGTACTTCAAACATTCCTCAGAGACTTTGGTCCATGTTGACATGGCTGCAACATGCAGTTGCTGCAGATTTGTCGGCTGCATCTTCATGATGTGAATCTCTCGTTCCACCACATCTCATAGGTGTTCTTTTGGATTGAGATATGGTGACTGTGGATGCCATTTGAGTACAGTGAATTCATTGGCACTTCAAAGAAACCAGTCTGAGATTATATGAGCTTTGTGGCATGGTGTGTTATCCTGTTGGAAGCAGCCATTAGAACAGGGGTGCCCAACTCCAGTCCTGGAGGGCCGGAGCCCTGTGTAACTTAGTTCTTTCCCTATTCCACCATAAATGATTCAGCTCAAGAGCTGTGTGGTAATTAGCACAAGGAGTTGAATCAGGTGTGTTAAATGAGGGGAAACCCAAAAATGTACAGGGCTCTGGCCGTCCAGGACTGGAATTGGGCACCGCTGCATTAGAAGCTGGGTACACTGTGGTCATAAAGGGATGGACCTGATCAGTAGTATCAGGATCGGTTCCTGCCTTGTGCTCTTGTATCTGTTCTTCTCCCATTGGGCCAGCAGGTGTTGCTCTCATTCATTCCTTAGTGTTTTGACACCTTTCTTGGTCCGTAAGTGGACGGCTGGTAACGCAGTTTCCTACCGGCCACAACTTGTTGGATGTTTTGTGTTTTGTACCCCTAGATTCTGTTTTTCAATAACATTGTTGATTATGTTCTCTTGTGTTTCTATACAGATCCTTGTTTTTGTACCTTTATGTGACTTTTGGTATAAACATTTACCCACCAGTGTAGTAGATAGTCTTCTGGGATTTACTTGCCAAATGTAAAATCTACCTGCGTTTGCATATCGGGTGTTAATTTCAGACCCCGGATGCTCTTGTGCATTCCTTGGTTGTAACAAGTGGTTTTAAGAGTTACTGTTGCATTTCTATCAGTTTGAACCAGTCTGACCATTCTTTTCTGACCTCTGCCATCAACAAGGTGTTTTCACCCAGAGAACCGGATGTTTTTTCTTTTTTGGCCAATTCTCTGTAAACCCTAGAGATAGTTTGTGTGAAAATCCCAGTAGATCAGCAGTTTCTCAAACACTCATACCACCCCATCTGGCACCAACAACCGATGCTGCATTCCAAGTCACTTAAATCACCTTTCTTACCCATTCTGGTGGTGAACATTAAATGAAGCTCCTGACTTGCATCTGCATGATTTTATACAGTGTGCTGCTGACATATAATTGGCGGATTAGATATTTATTTGCATCAATGAGCAGTTAAACAGGTGTACCTAATAAAGTGGCCAGTGTGTATGGATGTGTGTGCTAACTGTGATTAGTTGACACAGTGTATTTGTTATGGTTAGGCCTTTGTTTATGCTGCATAGGTGGATGTGCTAACTGTGATTAGCTTACACATAGTATATTTGTTAGGGTTCGGCCTATGCTAATGCTACATAGGTGCATGTGTTAACTGTGATTAGCTTACACGTTGTATATTTGTTGGGGTTCGGCCTATGCTAATGTTACATAGGTGCATGTGTTCATTGTGATTAGCTGACACTATTTGTTAGGGGTAGACCTATACTGATGCTACATAGGTGCATGTGCTAACTGTGATTAGCTCACGCACAGTGTATTTGTTATAATTAGACTTATGCTAATGCAAGAACCGTAACCCCAACTTTCTCCAGAGGGACTGTCCCTGAATTTAGAAAAATGTCGCTCTGGATAAGAGCGTCTGCTAAATGCTGTAACTGTGATTAGACAACAGTATGCTTGCATGCTTAAGCTATATTTGTTAGGGTTGCCATCTTCTAAATGTAGAACTAACTGATCTGTCTGATTTCCCTTGCAGTAGAAAATGTTAACAGCAGTCTAACTGCAGGTAAGAGGCTGGAGATCGGCGCTTGCTCATATCTCTGCACACCTGCTCGGGCTAAACAGAAAGGCACGTTGGGAGTCATTCAGGCCAGCTGTCTAATAAACACATTTTACCCTCCTCCTCCTCACTCCCCCACAAAAGTGGTTGCGTACCCCCAGCCTGTCTGCAATGGTGGAATCGGAGGTAATTTTTCTTTTGGTCTGTTGTCTTCCTTCCTGGGCCCGACTGATACTCACTCTGTGCTGTGTGAGGCACCATTCAACTTCTTCGCACCGGCTTGCCACTGAGCAAAAGCATGCCACTTCCTGTTTGACCGCCTGGACAGGAAGTACTCATACGTCACTGCTCAGCCCAGCCACCTGTATGTTGGTTCACTCTGTCACCAGACTTGCCGCCATTTCTTTAGTATATGCATATTCAGTGTCTCATGTAGGGGGAGCAATTAATTTGGTTAGTATGTTTTTACAGATACTAATCTAAGCTGAGTATGTAAGCAAACATAACATGTGCGATTCATTAGCAGCACGTTCCAGCGGCTGTTATTTGCTTTCAGTTCCAAAGCTCACACGGAACAGTTTTGTAGTAATAAACTCATGATTGGTTCTAGACATTGTGGTAAAATACCATGATCTCATGATAATATTTGGTCAGCCAAAGGCGGTTTGATGTACAGAGTATTACACAGTAAAAATTGATGCGTAATTAGATATAAAGTTAAATGGATACCCGTAACTCATTGCTCAATGAATGGGTACAGCAAATAAGCAATGTTCTGTTTTGCTGGACTAGCCATAACTAGTATTAAAACAGCCACCACGCAGTACAGATGTCAGGTATCGGCATGTGTGTCTAGTTTTAAAATGAATAAAAATAATATTTAAATCTACTGATGTATGCAACAAGGGGTTGAATTGTGAAGACATCAGGCTGGTTAATTGATCACAGAGCTCTGGGTTGGGATTGTCTGATACTTCCTGCTCCAAGTGTGCATGACCATGGTGTCAGGGTACTGCATGCTGGCTGTGACTGTCCCCATCACTTTTGTCATTAGCCTCAACATCATTTAAAGCCCCCATTCCCATTACTCATGTAAGGGGCTTCAAAAATGACCTCGATAGGGTTCCACGTTTGGCCTTCATTCTCATCAATATCATCATCATCATCATTACCACAGCTGGGTTTATTAATGAAGACCCCTTTGAAAGAATATTACTGTATAAGTTTTCAGACTTCTCTTTACTGCCTTATCACCAACTCCTTTATGTCGATGGTTCCCGCACCCTGCCTCCTTGCTTTACATTGACGGTTCCCGCACCCTGCCTCCTTGCTTTACATTGAAGGTTCCTGGAGCCTGCCTCCTTGCTGTATGTTGACGGTCCCTGAAGCCTGCCTCCTTGCTGTATGGTGACGGTTCCCGGAGCCTGTCTCCTTGCTGTACGCCGACAGTTCCCGGAGCCTACTTCCTTGCTGTATGCTGATGGTTCCCGGAGCCTGCCTCCTTGCTATATGTCGACAGATCCCGGAGCCTATCTCTTTGCTCCACATTGACGGTTCCTGGAGCCTGCGTCCTTGCTGTATGTCGACGGTTCCCGGAGCCTGCCTCCTTGCTTTACATCGACGGTTCCCGGAGCCTGCCTCCTTGCTTTACGTCGACGGTTCTCGGAGCTAGGGATGTTAACCGATGACCGTTTGACCGGTGGTTGACCGTATCAACGTTAACCGGTCAAAGTTGTCGGTAGTCGGTTAAAAAAAA